CGGGTGTGGCCGTCCTGCTGTCCTGCAACAGTAGGGGAGCCTGGAAAACGTCTTGAAAAGACAGCAGAAGAAATGGGTGTATGGCTGTTGAGCCGTGGCTATAAAGCACTTGCTGACCTGTGCAAATGTTTCCATGTGTATTTGTTAATATTTTGTTGCTTTCTTGATATTCTTCAGGCTTACAGGAAATGTTTTCTCTCTAGGATATCTTGGAAGGATGTATGTCTCCTCTTGTGCTGTCCCCTTATTCTGGCTGGGTCCTAGACAGAGTGATTGGGCAGTCAGCCCAGGAAATCGCACCCTCCGGAAGTTCAACACCTAAGGAATCCACTCCCCTCACAAACCAGTCATCTTCTCTGGAGAAGATCACGTCTGGTAGCCGCCAGGGCTCTTCACCACTTTCATCTGTAGAGCCAAATGAAACAAAGGTAGCTCTCTGATTATAACCCATATGTGAGCAGCTTTGAGAAAAGAATGTGCTAACTTGCTGCCGTAAATTGTCTGATAAAGGTTGGTTTGTGCTCTGTTGAACTGAGAAAAATGTGCTTAGTTTCAACTGGAAAAATAGAAAATGTGCTTAGTTTCAACTGGAAAAATAGAAAATGTGCTTAGTTTCAACTTTTTGTGGGATGAGCAGGTCATGATAAAATTGATATTAATAATATTTTCATGGAATAATGTTTCACAGTAGGACAAAAGCAAACTCTATTTTTTACCGTAACTGTTGTAAGAGTCCGTGAGTAACTCTCTTGGGTTCTCTGGAGGCTTTAAATGACTTAGATATGTTATGGCTCTCCTTTACAAGGCAAAAGTGTAGGAAGGTGGGCAGTGAGCAGCTGAGTTGTGGAGGTAATGAAGCTGATGAAGCACCTGAAAAAAAAACCCAAGTGTCCATTGCTATGTGTTAAATGGTGACTTCACCACGTAACCATGACACTGAGCAGCAAAGTGTTGCATCATCTTGGCCCCATTTAGTCTTCAGAAATATATTATGAGGAAAGCAGCTTAACGAAGCAGCAAGATCTGATAAATGTTATAAGAGAGACTCGAAGACTTCTCCTGAAGAACAACTCAAAGCATAAACCTGTCTTGACTGCTTCTAGTATAACATCTCCACGGAATGCAAAGAGAACGCGGGGGAGTCTGCCTAGCCTCTCTAGGTGACAATTAGCCTTTGTGAATGTCCTATAGGCTCTTGGTGTCTCTGCTCCCAATTTGAGTGATTGAGAAAAGTAATTATCCCAACCTCATATGTGTGCTGGAGGATACTCAAAATAGTGAGGCTACACTAATGGGGTATATAACTACTCTAAAAAATGTAGCGCGTTACTTGACTCCTTTGTCCATTTCTCTACAAATAATGTGCAGTTTAGGAGACTTGATTTACCTGGTTTCCTCCATGAATTGCTGATACCGTATTCAGTCACTGATTTTGCTCATATGCTGTCCACGCAGGGAAATGAAGATCTTAATCTGCTGGAAATGGAGCAGGAAGTCTTTCCAGCAGTTCTGGCATCTAAAGTTACAGAAGTCGAAGGCTGCATTCGGATGTATGAAGAGATGCACAGGTTGAAAGGAAAGGTAAAAAAACCCTGCCAAAACAACAACAACAAAAAAACCCCCTTGAGGGTGTATGTGAATCACAGGAGAGCCACATAACCAGGTGTAACAATGCTCTGGTAAAAGTAGCTGGCCAGTAAGTTATTGTAAACCTTAGAGAGTAAGGTTTAGGATAATCCCAAATAGACTGTGTTGGCCCACTTCAAGCAATTTAATTTGTATTTTCTTCTGTCCAAATGCTGGTGATTGCTACATTGTGGTGCTTCTGGCACCTCTGCAATCTGCAGGAGGGGCTAAGGCAACGGCAGGAGCAGCAAGAGCAGATGGTGAGGGCAGTGTATGACCTGGCAAGTGAACAACTGAAGCGCTTTGATGAACTCAAGGAGCTAAAACAGCATCAGGAATTCCAAGATTTGCAAGAAGTAATGGAGAAGAGGTGAGATTAGCTCTGATATTTGGTATCCTTAAAATATTATAGCATTTAATCAAAGTGAGGATTAATTCTTGTTCCTGGTAATTATATACTATTCAGTCACTTGTGCTTGAAAATCTCCCCTGCTGCTTTTCTTACATTAACTCTCCTGTAATTGTCTTTCAGAGTAGATCTCTGGCTACTGTTCAGTTTTCAATGGTTAGAAAAATACTGTATTTGTGACAGTTAAAGTTCCTTTAGCTTGGCTTATTTTTAAAGTAACTTGCTGCGTGGTTTTTGTATTTTGTCTTGTGCATGTCTTGAATACAGTTTTTCTGTCTTTATGTGTATTGTAGCTCAAAGGAGGCTCAGGGACAGCAAGAGAAGTTGAAGGAAGAACACCGACACAGAGCAAAGGTCTGAGACTTGTACAAGTTGTCTTTCATAAACGTTTGGTGGGAACTGGAAAGACCAATTGCTTTATTTGTGTTTACATGGCACCCCTGGAGTGAGAATACATTTTCTGGTGCTGTCTTAAGACACCTGCTGCATTGTGGAAATGCAGTAAAGGCACATGTGTTGTGGGAGAAGGAAGGACCTGCTGTAAAGCTAGAGTCATCAGACCAGGAAGGACTTGTAAACCTGGAGTTATTTAAGTATTCTGTGTCTCTTGTGTCTTTTTCTCCACAGGTACTAAACCTAAAGCTGCGCGAGGCAGAGCAGCAGAGGCAGCGTCAGGAAGAGCTGGAACGTTTGCGTAAGGAAGAGGGCCAGGAAAGACTGCGTCGCCTTTATTCCATCCAGGAAGAAGTGCTGCAGCTTAACCAGCAGATTGATCCCAATTATAGACACAAAGACTTGCCAAGAATCGATCTTTCTGCGTACAGTAATCGTGGCAACCAGATCTGTGGGCTGGTGTCAGGACTCATCCGCACCACAAGTGAGGTAGAGGTTCTAGAGTTGTTCTTAACTTTGGTTGTCATTCCTTTATAAAGCTTCCTGTATTGTCTTCAAAGGCAGCTTGTTATGAGGCCGTTAAATAAGACATCACAGAAATGATTTTAGATATTCGTCCTATAAAACATCTAATTTAAAAGGAGAATTCTTTTCTATGGCACTTTAGCTGTTCTCTTGAAAATGGCTTATAAAAATGCATGAGGATTTCTACAGGAGAAAGATTAAATATTAAAATACTGTAAACTTGATGCTGTAAAATTCCTTTTTGGACAACCATGGAAGCGAAGTGGTTCATAAATTGTGAAATACTGAATGCATTATGATTCTTGTATACTCATAAGCCTTTTTGCAGTAGCTAGGTTTCCTTGAAAAATTTTTTCTCTATGTGAAGGTGGGATACAAACCTTGCAAAATAAAACACTCTGATAAGGCTAATTCTCTGTTCCAGCTTGTCACAGCTGGCTTTCTGTAGAGGAAGCTGTCTGGGCTTTGCACTGGGGCTCCCTTTTACTTGTCAGAGTGTGTTATTAATTTTTGTTATCCAAGATCTTACGAGATCTAGTCATGGACTAACATTATCTACAAGTGTTGTGACCAGTGTTATGTACAAATAAAGGAGAGAAAGATATGTTCACTGAAGAGGATAAAATGTGTAGTTGGCTCCCAGATTATCTGAAGGCTAATGCTTCAAAGCCTCTTTTTGCTCTTGCCGTTGGTCTACAGATAGTGGAACAAAAGATTAATGTTATATTACCTCCTCTGTTTCTTGACAGAGAGGTTTACCTACTCAAGTAGATGTGGCTAATACTGAACGAGCACTGCAGGAGATGCGAGGGTTGATATCCAGCATGCAGCAAGAAATCGCTGCAGCTGTGGAAGAAAAAAGGAGGAGAGATGAAGAGGAAGAGAGACAGAAGCAGAAGGAGTTACTGAAAAAAGAGCAGATGAAGGCTCAGACTCCTGCACCTGCACAGCGGTCAGGTGGAAAGCAGCAGAAGGAAGGTTGGTTAGGCTTTTTTTTTTTTTTTTTTTTTTTTTTTTTCCTCTCCCCTCCTTTTCGTCCTTACTGTTAGGCTAAACACTACTTTGGAATCTTATTGTTGTGATGGCATACCTTCTTGTAGCCTTTCCTGTTAGCACAACTAGCAAAATGGGTATAGGACTGCTGGGAGAAAACTTTTGAAGTCAGACTGATGCAGCATAAATTGACTGTAACTGGAGCAAAAGCTGCTTTTCCTAGACAGTATGCCATATATTGGAATATTAGAGAGTAACATTGT